TTTCAGTACTGATATTTACTAGAATTAAATTCACTACTACAAGTAAATAATAATCTCAGTCAGATATCTAGTCTGGAGAACAGCTGCTAGAAGACAGGAACTCTCATCTGCTGAGATGCCTAACAGTATCTACTCCATGCAAAACACATGTAAATTAGTCAAACCATCTCAAGTTGCATCAACATCTCAAAGTGTTATTAAAATGCAGTCAAAGCTCCTAAGATGGTTCCAGAGCTTCTAATGAGGTTTTCAGTCTGCTGAGCAATGACCACAAAGGGCATTTGAATGTAATTGTTTACTAGGAAAAACTGATAACCAGTATTAGTTACTTTTAATAGCAGTATCTAGTGCCAGAAGTAGTGTCTACAATTATACCCTTTTAAAAGGCTTACTACTGTGTTAATAATAATAAAAAAAAGGAGTAAGAAAAGATGCCCTTCCAATAAGCCAGCAGAGAAGAGCACAGTCGCACAGAAAAGCCAGATTCAAAACCAACCACATGAATTGCACACCACAAACTTACTAGGAACAGGGCATGGAATTAGCCCGTTGTCTCTGAGGAAGCTACTGCATAAAACAGTGAGAAGATAAATTGTTTTCTGTACCCCTTAGTGGCTGGACATCAATGCTGCAGCATTGGAAACTGTCTTCCCAAAAGCCGTGAGGGAAATAAAATGCAGAGATTAGGATTGCTGCTATACATGGGAGAGGAAAAATGTTAAAAGGAAACTTTTAATGAAGGAATGGATGAAAGACTTCCAACTACAGGAGATTAGCATTCTTATCATATATACTCTTATTGCAAAGAAAAGGAAAGAGGTGGGAGGGGAAAACCTCCGTCAGAGACCTGGAACCTTTGCCACATTAAAATTGAATTCAGCGAATTTAATAAATGATACAGTTTGCAGTAATTCTTTATTATATTATATTTATATTTACTTTATTATGGGCCTCAAAAAATGTAAAAGTTTAGGAAAACAGTGTGTTAACAAAGACCTAAATGTACTGGACTGTAAAATGTTAAACTAGGGAAAATGCTCTTTTCTGAAGTAAAAAGAAACAGCTCTGTGTACTTTTCTCAATGTCATATAAGGAAATCTAGGCACATGACAAGATGGGTGTGACATGCATAGGAAACAATATGGCATGGTCAGTACAGACAGTTTGTTTTTTAACTCATATTACTGCACGTCATTATGAGAGTCTTGCTCAGGTTTCAAGTATGTGTAAAAGAAAACTAAGTCAGAGTAAAGTGCATCAGAATAACTGCAGATGCAGAACTTTCCCCTTGCTCTCTTGCATCTTTCTGAACGAAACAAGAAAGCCAGAACCCATCTTCATGCTGCTAGTAAAGAAATTTTGAAATTTTTTTTAATTTGCTGCAAAAACAGCAAGTATATGGCTAGAAGCTGCATTTTATAGAAATACAGGGACAAACAGTTCTGGTATTAGACAAAAAAAAAAAAAAGTGAGAGCTAAAAGAAGGGGGAATTTCTAATATGACCTGAAAAGAGAGAAAAAGTTTTCATCTGACCAGCTATAATTTTCCAAGTATTGAGTTAAGACAGAAAGGTACAGGTGAATCTTGGTTTACGATCAAGAAACTAATGCAATTTTCTGAGGCAAAGGGACCGCTCTTTCTGTTACAACAGGAAGAAAAGGTCACTGAAGCTAGCAGGCAGGATGCAGGGGGAGATTGTCTCTGTATTGGAGGAATCAAGAAAGCATGCTTATAAAGAATGTTAAAAATTACAAGGCTATTAGCTTACATATAAGATGTAGCACACATATAAGATGTATAAAAATAAACACAACGAGGAGATATGCTTAATTCCTTTTCCTGAGCATTTTTTTTTCTGATTCCAGTGGAACCTCAGCATCTCAGACGCAAAACCAGACTCATCAAATAACTGACAAAACAGGCTTCTCTGATAGTATTGTTCACATTTCAGTTGCCCTTTTAATGTGAAACAAACTGGATATATACACCATAGAGCTGTCATGGGAGGTCTGTCCCATTTACACAGCCACCAGCACTTTCTGGGGAGAAGAGAACCAGCAAGGTCTCACCAGGCACTAGAATTTGTATTACATCCTTAATCGTATTTCAAGCCTTTACAGTTTACATACTGTGTAACCTTCTAAATATTTGATCTTGTTCTTTAGAAATACTGAAAACACAACTACACATATTTCAAAATAATTTATATGAATTAGTACAGAATATCTTTAAACGGATAGTTTTCCAAAACAAGTAATTTTTAAAAATTCCTTTCCTTCTTTGAATTTAAGGAAATTATATTTAAGTTTCAAGCTTAATAGTCTACATAAATTGAGAAGTAATACTAGGTAAGCTCAATATACAAATTATGGCTATTTTATGTTTAAGATTTACGGGTTTTGTTCCCTAAAACAAGCAACAAGGTTTAAATTTAATGATATATTGATGTTGCTTTGGTTATTGATAATATAATACATGCAATGGATTTAATTTATTTTCAAACTATGTCTCTGTATCACCACCATCATATGTGTTAGAAATGAAGGAAGAACTGAGCCAAACTTTCTACGAAGGCGCTACTAGAATAACATTCACAGAAATTTTAGACGAGGTAGAAGATTACAGGTTTAACCTACAATTCAATTGTGCTGCACATTTTACACATCAGCATATATTCTTTTGTTAGGGGTTAACACCAAAGCATGCTATTCTGTTCAAAACGTCATATACAGTAGATTCAAATATATCATAATTAGCTTGTTCCTTTACACTCAGAATAAAATGTGTAAAGGCTAAGATTTTCTGCAAAGTATGAGTTAAAAGGAAAAAAAAAAAAAGAGAAAACAAAATGGCTATACAAATCTATACAAAAATGCTTTATATAATTAATGACTATTCCACACATCTTAAACCTCCAAGTACAAGACTACTGTTGATAATATCATTACTGATGTTAGGCAAAGCACAAGAAGGGTTTTCAGTGATGAAATAGTTACTGGAACAGCCTGGAGAATAAAAATCACAGAGTAGTAAAATCACATTTACACACATTGTGTAAATGTCTGTAACTTCCAATTCAAGCATCTCAAAATAGATGTAGCACTCTCACACTAAAGGAGACAATTCAAGTTCTGTTCATTTTGACAAGTTTATACAGGATAGGAAAATTCTTCCCCCATATCTGCTTTGAATGCAGATTGGTTATAGTCCAAATCTAAGCCAAAATAAGAAACATATTACTATATTTGTCATGGAAACACACCATAACTAAAGCAAAACTACCTGCTGATATCAACACTGTGTATTACAGCTGCATTTATTTAAAAGCTTTGTTTATTTTTAAAAAGTTTTAAATGCTCTGTTTGAGCATTTCAATGCCTTTCTTAGGAAAGTACAAAAAATAGACATGAATTTTCATTTTCATGTTAGACATAATCAATCTGATAAAATAACTACAAAACAGTTCTCAAAATGTGTATTTGTAATTTTGAAATTTGATAAAGACTCAAATGTTAGTTCAAATGATTGTTCATACATTGTTCTATTTTTGGGTAATTGTTACAGCTACCATCAGCAATTTCAGCATATAAACCCAAGGATATACATAATCTGAAAACAAAACAAAAAAAAAATTCTACCCCAAGTAATTTGCCTATCTAATAGTTACGAGAAGAACAGAAGGTAATCTGAAAACGGATTAACAGTGCAATGAACAAACTCTATCCCTGATACAGGAGACACCACAAAGCCTGAAACATTTCCTCCCCAACAAGGAAATTATTTGAAGAGAAAAAACACAGGATGATTTGCTCCAGTTTTGAAGAAAAGGTCAGAATAAGAAAATACAAAAAGAAAACTACCAATAAAATTTAGCAACTTTGAATTAGTTCTTCATTAACTAATTCTTTAATAACTTGGATTTTAGAAGCACTAAAAATATTTGAAAGAAAAAAGTTAGACAAACTCTCTAAACAATGCAGTTATCTTGGTTTGCAGAATAGCACCTTTATTCTTAGCCAATCGTCCAATATTACACAGGGAACATAGAAAGTATTTTTTAATTATCTGAAACTTGGGCAACTACACTGATCTTTTATCAACTGCCTGAGATCCAGCACACGCTATTTAGCTATTTAGCAAAGGACTATGGATAACAAAGCAAAACCATACACAAGAAACACTTTACACAAAAAGTTACTGAGCTGGCAAGAATGGGGCAATTAATAGAAAAGAAGGAAAGAAAATCTTTCAGTTTTCTCTTCTCAAAAAATCAATACCAACATGTGAACAACATCTTTTGTTTACACAGTCACCCAGAGGGGGGAAAAAAACCCACTTCACTAGTGTCAATGTACAGTTTAGAACTACAGAACAGCCCATTTCTCTCTGTTCTTTCCCATCTCCTGTTACAGTTTGTCCCTTTCCTGGTTTAGCATATAGGAAAGCCTTAAAAAGCATTTGTGCCTCCACAACAGGAGGCAGAGGGGCAGAAATTTCTGTCTGGTTTCATCACACAAAAAGACAAACAACACTGCTCCCTGGGCATGAACACTACTTATGTTCTTACCCTGCTGTATTTTTTCACAAAAGTTATTAGTTACGCAATTCCTACTTCTCATTTTCTTTAGGTCTTTAGGCCCATTTTTTTCTTTTTTTTTTTTTTTTGCTATTTAATGTTTACAGTAATAAGCCATTGCACCTCTCTTTATCCCCTACACTCCTACAACAAAGAAAGTCCACAATGCATATCACTCTGCTACTACTGCTAAATTTCTAGCAGCAAGAACACTGTCTTAGTAGCCCATTACAAATTACGCTTACATATATGTCACTTTAGAACAATGCTGTAAATGGTTATTTGGTTCATCACAGTTTGCACCCAGCATTATATGCTCACATTTACTTTCTACTTATGCTCCCTGCAATGTTCTGGCATCAGTGTCATGTAGTGTCATCCCTTGCTCTACGAATGGAAAAAAAGTTGTAAGAAAGTACTAACCTTCACCGACAGAAGTTCCACAGCCCTCAAGGTTCAAAAGGATATCTTCATCTTTGTCATCTGTACTGCCTTCCAAAAGCATCCAGCTCTCCACATGATCACTTTCAGATATCAAGCTCTCCTCCTCTGTATTTGAGCTATCGTCTATTACCATCACCTCTTGCAGTGTTCCAGTAGAAGCAATAGAGCTAAGCTTCCCACTAGCCCTTTTCCTTTGACTTGAAACTCTCGTGACTGATTCAACAGCTTCCAGAGCATCAGACTGAACAACTTTGGAATGATTTGGTGTGGAAATTCCGGGAAGGACACATTTTTTCTCTAAATTTACAGAGTTTGTTGACTTCTTTACTTTGCTTCTATAAACACTGTCTTCATCTGGTGTATCGGACAAGACAATGATCTCATGGCCATCTGAAATCTGAACATCATCATCATCAGGCAGTTCAACAATGTTCTTGTCCTGATGCAATTTCTCAGGGAGAACTGAACTCTGACCCCTGACTTCTGCAACATCAGCTTCTTCATTTATTTCCAGTCTGCTAATTTCTCCAAGATCTTGGGAGTAGTGGATCTGGCTGTAAAGATGAAATTCTACCTCACTATCAACACTCTGCTCACTGGATGACTCCTCATGATAAAGCTCATCTTCATACACTTCAGTATCCTCTGTGTCTTCATATCCATCAAACATTCTGGGAAGAAAATAGAATGTATCTATAAAAACAAACAAACAAACAAACAAAGTAAGATCAAGAATGCAAATCCAAAAGCATCTTTCAAGTGATACCTCTGGTCTTTCTTCCTCAGCAGGAACAGCTACCTCTTATAGATACAGAAGACAGAGCTCAGCAGTTCTACAGCTACAAAAAATAAATTCTCACAGCATCAACAGCAAAAGCTAGCTCTATATACAGAACATAGGGCTGTACAAATTTTAGCTGCAAGAACAAATTCTCATAAGTACAGCTGGAAAAGCTACTTAAGGCCTCTTGTTCAAACTCATGTACTACTTGAAACAAAACTGCTTTGACTTCTCAAAGTTATATTTAATTTGCTGTTGGTATCTTCAGCCCTTCTCCACTGGTTCAAATCCAGGGATGGTGGCTCTGTGGACAGGGAACCAAAACGAAGTGTCTAAACTCCAGTTTTGATCAATTCTATTAGTTCTATGTTACTAAGTTATATTCTATATTATTTGTCAAAAAATATACAGCAGCATACATCAGTATGTACGCAAGTACATCGACACCTGGGCAGCAGAGTCAAGTAAGTAGACACTTTGGAATTTAAACCTAGAACCAGAAGTGCAATAAATACGGTGCTGAAGTATGCACACACCTTCTGCACAGGTGTGGATCTACAAGTAGTATAATAAAAGTACAGTAAAGGTACGAGCCTGGAGCCTTCGTGCACACTGATGTGTTGATCTGAGTTGCCATGCCATGAATACAGCAGCAACCCTTCATAAGAAAGAAGACCTCTAGACACCATCAGGACTCACCCACCCAAATCAGAATTAGCTATGAGATCTCTGCACTGCTACCAGTAATAATAGCCTTTGGGGCAGACCTAGGACTAAAGTCCAAATTTTTCTTCTCACCCACGTAACAACAATCATAAAGCAAATGTGCCATAAAACAAGCAAGATAGGCAAAATAAGATAAACTGGCAAAATGGGCCAACAGGAATCTTAGGAAGTTCAACAAAGGAAAATACAAAAGTCCTGTGCATGGGAAGGAACAGCCCCTACGCGAGTACACATATTCCTGGGTGCCAGGAACACACCTTTGTAACAGGTACATATAATATGAGAAGCAGCTCAAAGAACTGGGATTTCTCAGCCTACAGAAGAAAAGTGCTAAGAGGATCTTACAAACAAGTATAAATGCCTGACAGGAGACAGTAAGATAGAGCCAGGCTCATCCCACCCAAAGACTGAAGGTACCCAAAGACTAGAGGGGGCAAAAGACTCTGATTATATACTGAATATTTCATTTACAAGCAAGAATTTCCTTTTTCGTTATGATTATTGGGATAGCCAAGCACTGGAGCAGCTCACTCAGAAAAGCTGTCGAGTCTCCATCCCTGGCGATTTTCAGACGTGGTCCTGAGCAATCTCATCTAGCAGAGCCTGTCCTGAGCCAAGGAAGCTGGAAGCCCTTCTCTGAAGGCTCCTCCTAACTTGATGTATTCCATTACTCTATGATCCCAATCAAACAGAGAGCTCAAAAAAGATCACTAAATATTATCTAGCAAGAAAGAAAATTCAAAGATATACTAAAGTTATATAGCTAATTGATAGACCACTTTTTTTTTAATGTATTACGGATTTTTATGCATTATGCTTTGAGAATAGAAAGAATACGTTCTCTTTATTTCTTTGATATGCTCAGTCCTGGGGAATTCAATGAAATATTTTCTAGAAATGAAGTAAATGTCAGACTGAATTTAGTTCTTTGCTTGGGGAAGAAAGTGGTAAGATATTTCTAAGCCCAGAAAGAGACATTCAAGTATAAGATGAGAACTAGAAGCCTTATGCATTGGTAAATCATGTGATGAGAATACCTAAAGGTCCTAAAAAACACCATTATGACAAGGTCTGTGAGCACCTCACTCATATCTGTATGATATCTATCTCAGAGATTCGGTATCTCAGAAATCACATCTCAGAGATTCTTATCTCCAGTCACTACAGATTTGGCCTCATACGTATTCCAGAAAACAACTTTTTCCACAGAAAATATGAATGCATATGTAGCAAAATAGTGTACTTATTGACAATTATATACTGTACTCTTGTTCTTCTTAGGCTCAAGCAGACCAATATACACCACTCAATCCTCCTTGTACACCTAAAGTCACCTTGGTCATAATCTGCTCAGATCTCAATTCAACGAGCATCACAGCTTTGCCACCTCAATACAGACAACAAAGGCTTATTTCTAACCTAACAATAAAGCCTTCAAAATAAAATAATAAAACTATTTAGATTTTAACATCTACTTTAAGATATGATCCTATCTGCATGATGACCAGGCAATTAGATATAGACACCTCTAACTTCAAAGAAACACATCAGTCCACTAAATTTCTAGAACTCATGCTTAGACTCTCTACTTAGGAATACAATACATGCAAAAGTAACATAATACATGGATCTATTTGCTAATTACTAGACTCTACTTCTCTCGCTGTGTGGATTTTTTTTATATATGCCATATAACTACGAAAGAACATTGCCAGGACCATGGTAAATATAATTTATATTAGTAGTTAGGTTACATTAATAAAAATAAACATAGTAGTTACATTGTAGTTATGAGGGAAAAGTAAAACTGATGTCACTAACCTGTTTTAGATCATTAAAAAAAAAAAATAAAAAAAAGGACAGACACCTGACAGACCAAATTAAGCAACCACATTTTCTGGTCCATATACAAAGTGAGAAAAGAAACTGAACTGCCTCCAAACAAGCAAATTCACACTACGAATAGGCGTTCATGGGACACTTGCCAGAACACAAGAAATCAAACACTTTCTCAGAAGCAGGCAAGAAGTTTAGTGATACTCAAAAAGCAAACTTGCTAATTCAAACAGTCCTGTCACAGTACTACTTCCGTCATGACTCAAAGTTAGGCAAAGTAAGCAAATGTGTTATTACTGAAAACATGTAACTAAACTTGAAATGCCAGAATGTCAAAGTAGTTGACTCATGAACACTTCATAAACAAGACAGCAACAAGAAGCAGCCTTGCACCACAACTATTTTGAAGAGTACTCTTTAAGCTCACACTGGATGAGGGCTTCCCTACAGAGCTTTCCCTTCCCTTCCTTCCAACTACCCCACTCAACAGCAGAATGCTGAAGGGCTCCTCTTCTTCAATTAAGCATGTGTTTCAGAGCACCACTAAGCAGCAAAAATACTCCGCAAGCATTCACTTCCATCCTTCACTACTGTCAAATAACTATACCCCAGCTCCTAACGTGAGAAAAATTGGTTCAACTGCTCATGAAAATAGACAAAAACACTGCCCACTGGAAAGAGAAAGATGAGCTTGATGAAGTTTTGCTTGTTTTCTTATTGTCAAAGGGAAGCAATCTCCTACCTAAACAAATAGAACATTTATGACAGACAGCCCTCAACTGTTCAGCTTCTCTTTCAAAACAGGAGTGTGTAGACTATGTCCAATACCCTCTATCTTTTTGCTGCTAGCTAGATGACAACAAAGTACTTCCTTAGGTTTGAAGGTGAAAAAAAAAATTAAAAAAATAAGATGGCCCTGCAAAGAATAGCTTATTTTATTTTTCATATGGACTGTGGAGATCATAACAAAGCTGTTTAATACTCTGAAACTGGCCAATCTTACTCCCCAAATCAAAAACACAATAACAAAACTTGCAAGCGTAGCGTGTGGCAGAACCACCTCCCTTAGTCAACAAGAACCAGAACACAATCTTCCAGGCAAGCACAACTTTCCTTAAAATATCTGACCGTATCTCTAAAAAGCCCTAAATAAGAACACTTCATGTAAAGATTTGCTGTTGTTACGTTAAAAAACAAACAAAACCAACCAATCAAAAAAAAAATCCACTTGATTCTTTTAAACATTTTTCAACAAAACTCAAGGTAGCTATACCCAGAAATTGTGGGGGAAAGCAGGAGGAAGCAAGTTTCTCAGATCACGTGCACAGTGTGCCTGACAGCATATTAAGTCTAGTCCATTAAAAACAAAATCATTATCTGTAAAGTAACAAAAACTGGACATGATAATGTCATAATCAGAAGACGCTGATGCTGATCTGAGCATCAGACAGGGGAAAGGCCAAGGGAAAAAAATACACAAGTTACAACTCCTAGAGCAATTTTCAAGTTTCATGTGGCAAACTGCCACCTTATCCAGAATTTCTAAGTAGTTTTGGACATTCAGAAATAAGACGAAGAAGCTTTGCAGCTGCCAGTAAGATCCCTGGGACAGTCTTTCCTATGTCACTTCTGCCTCATACACTTTATTTCTCCTTATCATTTCTTCCTTTCCTCGGCAGAACCTCCTTCTGCTGTTCTTACTTACCCAACTCAAAACTTCAGAATCTTCAAAAAACTATAGACTTCCTTTAAAAAAAAAAAACAACAACAATGAGGACTTCAAAAAAGAAACCTCCTACAGGAAGTATTCATTAATTGCAGCTAAGAAAGTGTTTATTCTTTGCAGTGGAAAAAATAACTTTTTAGTTTACTGGTGCAGTACTGCCACCAGTGAGTTCCATCTCTTTCCTCATTCCTCTTGTTCTTGAATCTTTGCAGTTGTGTTAAATCTAACTTCTGATAACAAAAGCTGCACTGAAGGTAAAAATAAAAGAACGTAAGAGTAGCATAAGTCTTTAGGTTACAGGTAAGAATAACAACAAAAATAGAGGAAATTACCAAAACTTCCTAAACTCACAAGTTTCTACCATTTTGTTCAGATAATATCAATAAAATTTATACTTTACTGCAAACTAGTAATCTTCCTTGCTTGTTTGTTTCTGCAGTTAATAAACTGACCGGTACTTTAGGTCGGTAGGTACTACATGTATGCAGTTAACAAAAAATGATTCAGTCACCTAATAAACTTAGTAAACTTTAAAAATTACTGCTGATGATTACATACTGACATCCATCAATTACGAAAACGTTTATTTAAACTGCTATCCTATACAGGTATGCAAATGCCATATATAAGTTACAAAAATAATGCTCATTACAGGAAGATAACGTAAGGATGCAACTCCACATCACTTGCACTTCTTCAACAAACGACGTTTCATAGGTTTTTTTTTTTTTTTTGGCATAAGGGATCACCAAACTCTGTTCAAGAAACCTAACAAAGGTGTTTTTTGGTTTTCTAAGGCAAGGGAGGCAGCCTTGAGCAATCAAGGCTAATATCCTGCATGGACATAGTCAAGCTAGATCAAAAATGTCATCACAGATAACATTTCAAAACACCGACCATGACATAAATACAATGACAGCTATTCCTGTCCCAGATCAAGGCCCAAAATGCATTTATTGACCCAATTTCAAGTAGGCAACAAAGAGAGCACCATAAAGCTGATTTAATGATTACACTAGCTATTAGTTTAGTACTAGCTACTTCTGGTTACACTTCAAAACCAGTTCCTTCCAAAAATAACTTGCATTGTGCAGTGTCAAGAGATCTCAAATTCATTCCTGTGATGTTAATTTACTGTATGTTTCAAAAAATGTTTCTCTTCCACCATATGTTCAAATAAATATTGCACAAATGAGTCTAAAGGAGCAATCTATAGGAGCAAACAAACAAAAACAAAACAAACAAACAAAAAACAATACCTTCAAGAGATCAGAGGAAAATGTCTTCTACCCCAAAAAGCCCTAGGGGGAAAAAAAAAAGTTATAAAACACTATACTTTGGCAGAGATTCTTCTTTTCTCTTTCTGACAATTTCCAGAACTGTGTTTAAAGGTGACAATTTTAATTGGTACAGCTTTCTTTCCCTGGATCAAGAATGAACTTGATCTGATGGCCCTGGCACATCAGTACCACCGCAAAGGTGTGAAGGAGCAGAACTAAACTGCAGGTTCTGGCACAGGCAACAGAAGGAGCCACTGCAACTGGGCTCGTACACGCACTTCTGAGGGCTGTGTCTTAGGCAGCGGCAGTGACAACCTTTGAGCGGGGTCTTCACGAAGCTGGATCCGCTCCGAGCCGCGCCAGCCTCCTCCTCTGGGTCTCTCAACAAACTGCTGTCTCCAAGACCACAAACACCAACTGCTGAACGTGCCTCGGGAGCTCACGCTCCTCTGAAGGTTGGGATGAGCAGCAGACGGAGATGAAGGCTAACAGGACTGGGACGGACACCCGCCTAACGGCGAGCGGTGGAACCCGAGGGAGCCGCGCTCCCCCGAGAGCTCCGCCTGCGCAGCCGGCAGACCCCGGACTGCGGCGAGGCGCCTTGCCGGGGGAGCCGTGGCGGCTGCACTGCTGCGCCTCACGGAGCGCCGCGACAGCTTCAGGCTCCGCGGGCCGGGCGGGGGGGCGGCGCGGCGCGGGGCGGCGCGGGGCGGCGGGCGCGGGGGGGCCGCGGCGGCGCCCGTCGCGGTACTCACTGCCGCGCGCACCGGGAAACGCCGAGCAGGAAGCCGCGCGCCGGAACACGCGCCGCTCCCCGGCGACGCGGCGCGGCGCGGAGCGGCGGCTTCCGGCCACGCCCCCAAGCGTGGCGGGGTGGCGGGGGCGCGCGGGGCACGTGACCCGTGGCGAGCGGCGGCGGCGCCATGTTGCCATGGCGGCCCCGCCGCCATGTTGCCGTGGCGGCCCCGCGCGCGCTCCTAACGGCGCGGCTCGGCTGCCGGGCGCGGCTGGCGCGCGCGGCCTCACCAGCCCGCGGGGGCTCCGTCCGGGGAGACCCCCCGAGCCCCGCGGGTGGCCCCGCGGGAGCAGGGCGCTGTCCAGAGGGCCCTCTCGGTCGCCCACGTCCTGCGCTCCTGTGAACGGTGTCGGGTTCTCCGGGTTCTTACAACACGTGCCTTGGCCTGTCCTTTCTCACAGGACAGCGCTGGCCGTTACCAGCCCGCTTTATAGTACCCCCTACTATGTGACAGTACATGATGATGGCAGTGGGTCATAAATGGTGGAACTGTCGGTGCTGGAGGAGGCCTTCAGAGATGACCTTGTTCAAACCCCCTTGCTCAACAGCAGTGCAAAAGTCCGCTTTGCCGGTGCCCTGCGCAGCTTGTGAATGCGCAGGAGCGGGGACGCCGCATGTCCTGCGGGCACCGTGCTGTGGTGTGGGTCTCCGGAGCCCGGCCCTGCGCAGGGCTCAGCAGGAGGGCAGTGTTTGCTCCCCGGAGCAGCGGCGCTGCTCCTAGCGCAACGCAGGACCCTGCTGGCCTTCCTCGCCGCGAGGACACGCGTCGGGCAACGTTTGCTGTGTCCGCCAGGCGCTGTTCTGCAAAGCGCCTGGCATGTGCTGGCGTGCGGGGTGATTCATCCACCTGTTTGCCTCTCTGGGCCCCCTCCTTCTGAGCTTGCGCAAGGCTGTGTTAGGAGGGCAGTGTTGAAGGACCCGCTGTAGTCGAGGTGGAGAACATCCACTGCTCTGCAGGGTGTCATTTTCAGCACCAGCTGCTCCGCAAGGGAGGCTGAAACATGTTTGGACAAGCTCGTTTAGGGAGCGATGGGTGCGCTTGAAAATTCATGCCACTTGTCTGAACTATGTGCCAAGTTCAAACAACTCTCGTGCAACAGACTTTTCAGTCTGAAACAATTGCTGAATTGGAGAAGACAGAAAACTGTGCTCGTCTTGTTGCAGGGCAGGTTATAGAAGAGATAGGAGAAGAGATGGTTTGGATCAGCAGCTAATTGAGCTCATTTGTGGATACTGCACTGCCTGCTGCAAATAAATTTTGTGGATGAAAAATCGTTACTGGAAAAATGGGAATTGCAAGATAATCCATTTGTTTAGTATGGGTCCATGCCACATGGTCCATTGAAATCATCAGACAACTCAAGAGCTGAAATATTGGTGTTGCAGTTTTCCATTCCTAGATTTTAATACATGTAACTGAGCTTTGGAAAAAAAAAAAAAAAAAAAAAAGTCGCATAGTCCCTGTTTTTTTGTTGTTGTTGATTTTTTTCTTGAGTTATTTTTTCCCTGAAGGGACTCAACAGTCAATGGACAGTCTTAGGAATATACAATTGTATGAGGACTTCCCTCTAAGCCTGAAAAAAAATCTTTTTGAATCTTGAAATACTTCAGTATAATAATTTCACAAAAAAAATGAATGTAAGGTGAATTTGTGTATCACACTGAGTTGTGCATTAAATTTTTACCTGCAGCTCAGATATTTGTGGTTCAAAAATAAAATATTTTCTTATTTAAATTGCTAAGTATCAATAAAAATGTTCATCTTCTAATGAAGCTAGAGCCAAGGTGTCAGGTAAAAGTGACTTCTGTAGAAATGCAACTTCCAGGAACTTAAATTAAGATAATTTTTAGAAGCTCAGTGATATCACTAGACTTGCTGAAAAGCTTAACATCATTTTTTTACCTGTGATTTGATGTTTAGTTCAAATAATTAAAGGAGAGTTAGAGCAGACAGTTTTCCCATTAAGCAACAAATAGTTCATAAGTGGCTTCTGGACTTTCATACTTTTCAAACCCTGCTAGTTCTGTATTTTTAGCACTAATGGAATGTAGTTGCAGACTGAGTTATGCCTCTGAAATTTGGCACAGGTAGCGTATGTTGGTTAGGAACGGGCCTCTGGAAGGACAGAACGGTTTCTCATGTGAGCTGTTAGCCTGTGGGTGGAGAAAGAAGGAAACCCAACAGAAAACAAGCCCTGAGTATGAGCAGACACCATGAAGAGTTTGAAACACAACTGTGACACCCGGTGTACAGTAGGCAGAAGTCTTCTGTTATCAGCTCTCGCTAGTTTCCAAAACAAAGCTGCTTTTATGGCCCTTGAGTATCAGGAAGCCTTTTCAGATGCGTGGAGTGGTCCTGGTGGGGGAGGACACGGGCTCTTGCTGCGAGCAGGGCAGGACGGCGCTGGCAGCAGCAGCGTTACAGCTGCTGTTAAATGGTGTTTGCCAACAACGAGCAAATAACCGCGCTTGGGTATTTCTCGTTGCCGTCCCACGCCATTTTAGCTTAGTGCTTTGCAATAGTAGTTACTGAGTTGCTATAAAATGCCTCGCTGAAGCAGCGGGGTGGGACTGAATGATCTCTAGAGGTCCCTTCCAACCTCAACCATTCTCTGAGTCTGTGAAATGTTAGAGAAAGATCTTAAGTTAGAAAACTTTTCTCAGATTATTCTGAAGAAGCAAAAGATGCTGTGTTTCTAAAACCTGGGGCAGAAAGACTAGTGTCTTTCTACCACTCAACAAGACAAGCTCAACATTGACAACAGCGATACATATATTGCAAGAGTTCGTTCTTGCCATATTTGGCCTTGAAAGGATGTTTTTCAGTCATGTCCCTGCTGAGGAAAGCCAGCGGCTCCACAGTGGTCAGCTTTTCAGGAGGAAAGGAAAATACAGATACACTCTGCACTTGTTCACGGTTGTTCCGCAGGTGCTTCTGCCTGGCTGCAATGTCTCCAGTCTCCTGCAATACCGCAGACTCACTGTGAGTAGCACTCACAGTGCTCTGCAGGATGCCAGAGCCTGCTCCCACCCCCGCTTTCCTTCTCATTTCAGGTGGATCAGAGGGCTCTCCTCCTTGCATATGCAAAGGGACTTAGATTTCTAAGGAAAAGGATTGCCTTGGATTTAGAAGCTATTTCCATCCGTTCTCAAAGTACTTACAGGACTTCATCTTTATATGTCAGATTAGCTGAATAATACAGTCTTCCAAGGCAGACAATTAAAAATTCAGTTTCCCGCAATGTATTCCATATATTGGGGTGGGGCTGGGTCGTTCCTTATTCACAGGTTGCACCTACTTGGTTACAAGTATACATGACCTTAATTTGCTTCATTTTCTAAGCTTCATAAAGGTTTCTTTTTTCTCGTATGTCATGTTATCTTCAGCTGCTGTTGACTCTGTTGCACTCTCAAGTACTTCTGTTGGTACTCGTTGCTCTTTCCTTCCCCAGCTGTTTGCCTGCCGAGTGCATATAGGTGTAAGATAGCTCTGCAGACCCACACATAGGAAGGGTCAGTGGTGTCTGAGGCCTGTCCAGTTTTTGATTATTCCGTATGGCTCACCCTCCTGACAGCTATGCCATACCAGTTCTGCATTGCAGTTGTGAAAGACTGTGCTGTAGAGTTACTTCAGAAAGAAATCATATTGAGCATTTGAAACAGAATCACCAAGAGCCTCAAGTGAAAGCTGTAACCTTCGGGTTTGTTCTTGAAGATTTTATTTCAAGAACAGCCTGAAACACAAGTGTGGCCAAAACCATTATTAAAAGAAAGCAGTAAAGCCAGCTATCTGAAAGCGTGAGATTGACTTATGGCAGGCATGCTGTTAAAAACGGGACATTGAGTATGTCCTGCCACATTCTGGCAGTGGGCTGCTCCAGTGCTTGCTCGCAGGTGCTTTCTGTGCACCTGAAAGCTAAAAATAAACTTCCCATTTCACTCTGCCAGCTTTGTTGCACAGAAGGAGGAACAGTCAGAAGGGAGATCCTGTCTGTCCAGTCCCAGGGAGTCACTGCTCCCTTGGGGTACTAAAAGAAGCTGACAACAGCAATTCATAGCTTTTTTGAAGCACATACTCTTTGTTTTAGCTTACCAGCTGAGAATGTTTTGGTTTTTCTTCAGTTCACTGCTGCTTGTCCAGGCTGTATGTCTAAATATTGTTATCTTGTGAGGGACACTTGGAGATCAGTCTTCATTTGATTTCACAGAATCA